ATTAATGAAGACGAGAAATATCAACCACCATCTTCACATAAAATTATGCAACTTGAAGATTCAGATGAGAAAGAAAAACAGGTTGACGCATATTCCAAAAGAGAAGCTAAAAAATGGCTTACGAAATATATCAAAGCCTTGAATTGATTGGCTGTATTATGCTATATTGTCTGATATAATGAGGATGCTTTGCATCTAAGTATTCTTGGTTAGAATTGCAACACTCTACTAAAATTACAACTAAAAAAAATATTTGATTATCAAACTAACTATATAACACGATTTTATTCAAACTTATATTAATTATGGGATCCAATCTAATATTAGCTCTAGTGCTGGTTTTTTGCTTAATAAAAAGTAGATTGATTCATCAGAAATAAACGGACATTTCTTTGCATTAAGAGCTAATAAATTAGAACAGTAGTATACAATTCCATGTATCATTTTATCGGTGATATAAATATATTGAAAACTAAGATTTTGAATGTTTGAACAGGAATGAACTATATTACACACAGCATTATCCGTAATTTTATAACATGAAATAAGACTAATATTTTGTAGGTTTTAATTTAAATCTGCAATTTTTTTGATTGATTTGTCGGTAATCTGTTCACAGTCTTTAAGAAAATAATTTCACATATCTGGACAGCCAGTTGCAATCGCACATATAGCTTCATCTGTAATTATTTCATTGAATGACAAATCCAGGTGTTGAAAATTTACACATGAGCGTGCAATTGCACAAATTGATTCATCATTAATAAAAGGTTGTCCATTGAGGTTTAAATATACTAGATTGGAACAAGACCATGCCATTTCAATCACAGATGCATTGTAAATATTGCTATCTTTATACAAAGAAGCGAGACTTATGTATTTTAAATTTGGACAAGATTGTACTATTTCACTAATGCATTTATCAGTAATAGCTGTACATGCATCAAGACTCAGATGTAGTAGCTTCGGACAAAATTTTGCAATTTCTATAATTGGTATATCACTAAAACCATAACTTCGATCGAGGATGAGAAAGTTTATATCTGGACATGAATGCAGAATTGCACTGAGTAATTCATCTGAGATTTTTAAACCTGCCAATTTGAGATATACCATTTTTGATCAATATGGAGGTTTTGTCTTTCCGCACATAACTCTTTTAAACTTTCTTAATTGCCAATAAAGAGGTCCAGACATATCTTTACTATACCGATTCTGCTGATAACCTTCTATAGAAAACTCAATGTGTCTCCATAGAATCGGGGCACTACAGTGATACCAAAGACTACTGACAAATAATGCTGGATAGAGTGCTTTATCCGTAGCCAAGAAATTGAATATATTTTCAAGTAACTCCGGAAGAATAAGAGGATGACTCATATTTAGTTCTTTATATAAGCACCTTGTTCTACTCTCTGATTATAGGGAATTTTTACCAATGTACTAGCTTTTGCTATTTGGGACAGGATATTACTTAGTTCAGGGATGTCATTTTGCACTTGATCAATAGATAATTTGGGCTCAAGACAAGGAGACTTTATCTTTGATTGATCTAATTTAGACACAAGGTCATTCTTACTCTGTGAGATTGAATTTTGAAGCGAGCCAGAAGATGCATTCTGAGATTTTGATTGGTCATTTTTCTGTTCTCGCGATATATCACACGATAAATTAGATTGATCCGATGAACTATTATCCGAAGATAAGTTTTGATCCTGAAGTTTCTTTTCCCTAATTCTCTCCATTATCTCTTCACTAACACATCCTTTATATTTCCTTTCTACAAAATCTAGAGTTTCAGCTGAATCATCATCAATAATATCTTGTGGCAAAGAAGTGATAGACGATTCAGGATCAGTTAGAGATTTAGATTCGCTTCTTTGGGTCTGGGTCAAGTTATGTTCGGACATGGAATCAAGAGTAATACCATTATCTTTATCGGACTGATCTTTGATAGGTGGTGAAATATTTTTTGCGAGGGATATTTCCTGTTCATTAGGGATAACCTGGGTTTGCTTCTGTTCCAATTTCGCAAATCGATTTTCACTTTCTTTGCCGACTGTTCTAGTTCCACGATTCTGGCATTGAGCTTACCATCTCTCAACTTTGCATTCTCAGCATTTTCTTCTGCGATCTGTGAGAATTTCACAAAACTGGTCTCAATCTCTTCCTTATCTTGTTTTAATTTTATATTTTCAGCCTTGATATCGGCATTCTCCTTCCTAAGTTCAGCAATCTGGTGAACGAGATCAGAATTCAATTCTCTCAATAAATCGATCGTAGATTGCATGTTTAATATCAATTTATGTAATTTTATCAAAATGTTCGGAAGGATATTGTATATGTCTTGAAAATATTTTTTATTATACAATACCTACAATTTCAAATAAAAATACAAGTAACATGTAAGGCGGTATTTTTTTCTTGGTAAAAACTGTGACAAAATGTCATGATCAAAAAATTTTTTTATTAATATAAAGTTCGAGATATAGCCCAGGATACGTGATCATCTAATCCGATGCTTCTGCGAGATTACTCGATGACCTGTACTTTTTTAATACCCTCAATTGTTCCCCACCCTGCAAAACTTCCACTGGTTTCTGTGCCTCTTCCAATAACCAGGCAATATATCTAAGAACCCTTTCCACCTTAGTTTGCTTATTCTCATCATTATACTCAACAATCACTGGTTCTGATAGCTTAAACGTTGGCTTTCTCTCCTCATCAAGCGTGCATTCCATAAAGTACCATTTTTCCGCATCGGTAACAATTCCGAATATCTTATCCACATATTAATCATTATCTATTTCATCAGCTTTGCGTTTACACCCTGTTAAGAATGACTCCATTTGCACGGATGCCTGTGCAAAACCTTTCATAAAATCATCCTTCTTAACTTCGACTAACCCAACGATCCTATTGGTTAAACGACACTCAATCGCATAATCGAGGTTTCCCTGCCCAATCCGACCGTCAACAAGTTTTTCCGGTATAATATTGAAATTATTCTTATAGAATGAGACTCCAGCGATCAGGCAACAGTATGAATAAATAGATTTCGTCACCTCATATGTCATGTCAAGGGGAGTAATGTCTCGGAGAAGTTTCAAACCGGTCATTAGATATCTAACCACGACTTGAGACTTTTCGTATCGTTACTAAGCCCATAGAGTTCGCACACCTTTGGGAATGTCCACTTGTTGAATGGTTTCGAGGGAGTTTCAATGAGCACAGTGAACCTGAGATCCTTTTTTGTAACTAGCGATTGTAATATCTCACAGAACGAAGAATCATCTCTAGGTAAATATATATCTTCACCGTTCATGAAGTTTATTACCGCTCCATCACTTTCAAGTGCGGGTGGTTGATACATCTTACGTATATAATCTTTGAGGCGTTCGAGAGACGCATGTTCGATATTTGCAGTTCACTTATTTGCCTTCCGTTTCGGGTGGACGACGACATCGAAGTCTACAATGCAATGGCAGAGTTAAAACTTCTTTTTCTGAAAATATTTTGATCGTTTCATTGGGAAACAGTTTTTGCCAAGAAATTTTTCCGATCGTGACATTTTTATACGTATCATGTACAGACTTGTTAAGCAATCCCTCCAACGATGCGATGCGGTCCAGCAATTCCTGTTCACGGTTCGAAGTGGCGGTTGATGTGGATGGTTCGACTATGACATGGATATGTTCCTCGGCAGG